ATTGTACAATTGTTTTTTACTGTATTCCCCCTAGAGTCTTTGAACACTTAGGCAGCCTTAAATATTTATAAAATCAAATCTGTTTCCTTGAACTGCAAGATGGGTGGCATATAAAGGTGATAATAAATACAAACAAATAAACAAACAAATAGGAGTACCAACAGGAATAGACACCTAGAGTGCAAACCCAAAACAACTAGAGCATCACTTGAACATCGTTGGCATTGACAAAATCACAATTCGTCAATTGCAAAGAGCAACTTTACTTGGAATAGCTTACATTTTGCAACAACTATCAAACATCAACATCTGTCAACTCCACATCCTTGGAAGATCTGAATAGTTGGATAAAAATGCCAAATCCAGTCTGAGCATCACCATGACTGTGCAACAAACCATAATAAAACCAATCTATCAAGATGTCAGCATGAATAAATCCACACATTTGTATAAATGCTAAAAACAATTTTGGGGAAGGAAAGGGGAATCTTCAAAGGAGTGACCATAATTAGTGCTCCACTTTGAGTATCTGAGGACTGCCCTATCTATCTGAAGCTAAATATAGATCTTTTAACTGTTTTCAAGGACATTATCATCTTGTTAGCCCTCCTCTAAATTCAGTCGTTTATTGATGTTTTTTAAAGGTTAGTTTGTCTAGAACTGGACATAGTAGTCTAGTGATCTAATAAAACACCTAAATTCTTTTCATAGGTATTATAAACAAGGTAGATCTACCATTCTAATCTTGTGCCTTTTTTCTTCTCTCCAGAAACAAGACTTTATACTTGTTTCTGTTCAATTTTATCCAGTCATTCCTCATTCAGGAATTTAAACCATTTCATCTAATCTACCTTTTGAGGTTATCAAAATCTATTCTGAAATTTAAAATAGAAATAGGACTCTTCCTAATTTCTATGCCCTTGATATCATGAATTCAAGTATAACATGGTTTCCTCCAAATTCATCCTTCTTGATAAATATTACATCCAGGCTTCATTGTTCTTTTATCTCCTGACAGTCGTCTACAAAAGATGACAGGACTTCATTGGACCTCTGACTCTTGACAGGATTAGATTTACAGTACTGCTCAAGGTGGCTAAAATCTCCCATTATCACTATTGTGTGCGTCTTTAGAAATTTTGGTAACCAGACATAAAAAAAGATCTGTATCTGCTGCCTCTCAAAGCAGTTTATAATAAATGCCATGAAGATGTCACATTGATTTCTCTCTTCTTTTATTCTTATGTCAAAGCTCTTAACAATACATGCATTTTTGGTGTCTGCTTTATTTATATGTAGTGCAACACTCAATTTTTGTTGAGGGCATTGCTTTCAAATAAGTTATATAGCATCCCCAGGCTATGTTTCAGGCACACGTGTCACCCTACCAGGTTTCAGGGATGGCTATGACATTTGTCATTGCACAGGTTATCTATTCTACAAGCCCTCGGTCCCATTCTCACATGGTTAACAATCTGGGGACACATCAAGTGGATGGCAGCTATTTCCCCATTCCCATAATATAACAGAGACCTAAATATATGGAGCCCAAATACTCAGTTAACAAGGAATAGAGCTAACACATACATTATTAGGACATTGTTTAAAAATAATTGCAATTTCCTTCTGATTGTTTCCAAAGCTTCTTTAGATTCAGAAAGATGGGTCGGAACAGAAATAGCAGCTAAATTACTTTCCACCTAGAAGTCTATTTGAAAAATTAACTGAATAGCCAATTGTCAATTTTGAAATTGCAAATATAAAACACAAATTGTTAAAAAGTACATCTTAAATAGCCATCTTAAATATAATTAAAAATGTAGAGGTCCTTGGTTTATAGGGATAATAAATGTAAATTTTATACATTTTCTATCTGTTTGAAATGTTAGAAATGGAGCATATTATGATGTGTGTTATGAAATTTTAAACCACTGTAAACCTCCAACCATTCTGGAAAACCATAAAAGTAGTAGTAACTCTACATGACTTCTGATTTGTTAGTGCTGAAATATGCTTTTATTTCAGATGGAGCTGAAGATGTAGTACTTGGAAGTATATATTATATTTGGGTTTTTCCTTTGACTTGCTGGCTGTTAATTGTTCCTTTACTTTCTTGCCAACTGTCACCAATGTTTCTTCAGCAAGAAGATTATAAGCTTGGGGTGCCATCTGGTGGTCACAGACAGAAATGTCACAAAATTTTTCTCTTTATTTCCCCACTAGTAATTGATTAATTAGAATTGCAAGAAAATAAATGTCCGGGTGAATGTTTCTATTCTCCCAACTATGACTTATTTTAGATATTCTATTCTGTAAAGATGCAGATATATGCACCTGACTCGCAACAGCATTCTTATTTCTCACAGAACCGTCTGATTTTTTTAAATACCCTTTTTTTTCCTTTTGCATAACTCAGTTAGCCAGATATGTTGTTACTTTTCTCTTGTGCCTGGTTAGTGTTGTTAGAACATGAATTCCCTATTAGTACACTAAATATGATTTTAAGATAATTCCATGATCCACAAACATTAGTTTTCTTGCATAATTAATAACAGTGAAATGGCATCAAAATAAAAGGAGTACATCTCACACCAATGCAAAAGGGACAATTTGCAACCTTATTCTGCTGCCTTCATTTGAAAGAAGAACAGATTAGAGGAAGATACTATTGTCCTGGAACTTTATGGTTGCCAGAATGCTACCTAGAAAACTCCCACGTTCTTTTAAATCCCACAATGCCTCAGAACATAGCAGCCATTCAATTTTCTTCTCACTCTCTCACATACAACATGCTAAAATAAACAAGAATATACCTAGCTGTTTTGTCTCTCACTGAGCTAGGGCAAATTTAACGGATGGTGCTACAATCTTTTTGCTAGAAGCAGAGGGAGGAGGGAAGGAAGGAAGGAAGGAAGGAAGGAAGGAAGGAAGGAAGGAAGGAAGGAAGGAAGGAAGGAAGGCCAAGGTAGGATATAGCAAATATGCAAAATAAACGGAAGAACTAAAAGGCACAAAAAACAATTTAGTCACTTAAAATGCCTCAATAGATTGACGATTTTTAAAAAAAGGTATTTAAGTGACTTTAAATTGTTTTTCAGGATCTCAGAGCCAACCACAACTACAGCAAAATTCTGAACACACACACACACACACACACACACACACACACTTTCTTCCTAGAGTTTTACCACAAGTGCAAGATCTGCTTTTTTCAACAAAATGTTGATCCATTGGTTGTGGTAGGAATTGACTGCCAGCTTGGTGCTTGAGCCTGATGTGGTGGGCTGAGAGTGTGATTGGCTAAAGTCACCCAGACAGCTTTCATGTCTAAGGTGGACTAGAACTCAGTCTCCTGGTTTCTAGCCTGCCAAACAGATGCCACTAGACCAAACTGGCTCTCTAAAATTCTGAATATATACAGGTAGTCCTCAATTTATACCTTTCGTTTAGTGATCATTCAAAGTTACAACAACCTGTAAAAAGTGATTTATGACCGGTGCAGATCTCCATGGTCATGTAATCAAAATTCAGGCAGTGGCAACTACATATTATATTTACAACATTATAGCATCCCAGGTCATGTAATCACCATCTTCAACTTTCCCTGCCAGTTTCCATCAAGCAAAGTCAATAGAGGAAGCCACACTTGCTTAACAATGGTGTGATTCACTTAACAACTGCAGTATTTCATTTCACAACAGTGCAAAAATGTCATTAAATCTGGCACAATTCACTTAACAACTGCCTTGATTAGCAATAGAAATTCTGGTCCCAATTGTGGTCTTAGACTCAACTGTGGTCAAGGACCATGTGTATATCCTTTCATTCCTAGACATTCTGAAGACATAGGGAACACACAGCTGATTTTTGGTTAACCAATACTTTCTATTTCCTTTCCATTTAGCATCAGTAACATCTCCATAATGGGTGGATATGGACAGACAGACAGACAGGCAGGCAGGCAGGCAATAGATAAGAATATCCGAGGTAGAAGCCAAGGCAGAGTTTATTATTTTGATACTAGCATGAAGCCAGAACTACCAAGTCTGGCCTGGAAAATTCCAGATGGCCATTAAATGGTAAGAAAGAATTAGATTTCCAGTCTACATATGATAATCTTACTCACTTTCAATACAGTTATCTCTATTTCCAAACAGGTTCCATCAGAAATTGCAATTAACGTTTCCAAACAATATAATGCAAGATACATTCTGGCTCCTGGATTTTAAGTTTTAACATGATCTTAATTTCAGTCACACTGTAAATTATGAAGAGTTCACTTGGTAGGATTGTCTATTAACCACAGCCAATTCATAATTCATAATTAGGCTAAAATGAAGAATTGCTATTTAAACTAGTATGACATATAACTTCACTGTAAGTTCGCAACCAAGATGTAGCTCTTTAAACAGTATTAAACCATGTCCTTTCCATATTGTTGAACAGTCTGGAAATCATTCTCTTAAAGATACTAAAATAAATGATATTTATAAACTAGAAGAGCTCTACTTTACTGTGCAAATGGTACTTCACATTTCCATACTTATATAAGAAAAACTAATTACCCTTACAAGTGCCAAAAGATGAGGCTAACCTCTGAAATCCTTTTTAATGTGAAAGGAATTTGTTTTTACATTCCCACTCATAGATGGCAGGGAAAGATTATTTATATTTCCCATTCTGCCGATCAACTATTTTCATACGATCGTATGACCTTTCAGACTATTAGTGCAACAGTACTAATGAGAAGCACAGCGCCTATGCGAAGATGCATTTCCTAAATTCTCTGCTGTCTGTGCTGAGGCAACTATGGTATTGTGGTTGTTGTTATTCTAAGTAATTCACACAGAATCTGCATTGGAAGTATTCCATTGCTATATCTATTGTTTAGATCTATAAGATATGCATACAGACAGGACAAAATTGGGTAGTATGGCAGCATGTTGTCCCCTTTAGAGTGTCCAAAGATATATCCTTAAATTTTCAGTTGTCTGTATTTATTATTGTCTTCCATCTTCCTCTACTTGATTCCTCTGATCTATCATTGTCTGCACCTAGAAAACAACAGAAAACAAAATATCCAGGGTTTCAGTAATTATAGATTCATCAAATATAACAGTAATTACAGAAGACATCTTATGAGGTTGAAGTCTATTTCAAACTTTGTATGCCTGGTGCATACAAGAATGTCTGGTTGCACAGTAGAATGTCTAATGAATGCAATTACCAATATTCATACTATTTTTGGTTACAGATAACGCAAACATTTTATGTAATTATCACAATTGTGACAATCACATCTTGTGTACTAATTGTGAGCTTTTCTAGACCAGGAAGAATTCAGGTCTTTATTATTACATAATTGAACTACATCAACTATGCAGAGTTGCTCTTAAAAACTACCCAGTGGTTTAAACTGATACAGCTTGCAGTAGTTCAGATTGACCCCTTTGAGATTTGCCTACATACATTCTATTCTAAAATCTGCACTAATTGCCAGTTAGTTATAAAATCTTGCTTCAAAGTGAATCTGCCCACCCTATAACATCTACAGAGGCCTTGGACCAATGTTCAATCTCAATGTTCAATCTCAGTGGCTACATCCCTAATAGAGAAGAAGGTGCCTCCATATTTATATGAACCATGTCTTCCCTCGTGAACTTCTGAAAAGTGGGAAGGGGACATGGCTTTGGAAGAGAGCATTTAGGATGTTAGATTTTCTTTTGAGGTCTACCTTAGTTGGTTAGGATAGCATATAGTCACAATTTGATATTTTTAACCTTTATTTCTGTTGTGTATTGAAGGAGAGTGGCATGGAAACACCAGTAGTAAATTCTTATTATTCATATGTGCATATTGTAAAAATAGCAATAGCACTTAGACTTATAGATCACTTTACAGCACTTTACAACCCTCTCTAAGCGGTTTACAGTCAGTGTATTGCCCCCATTAATTTGGATCCTCATTTTACCCACCTCAGAAGGATGGAAGGCTGAGTCAACCTTAAGCCTGGTGAGAGTTGAACTGCCAAACTGCAGGTATCCAGCAGTCAGCAGACGTAGCCTGCAGTACTGCATTCTAACCACTGTGCCACCATGGGTCAGTAGAATATTGTCAATCAAGATATCATAGAAGAAGTTCAGCTCTCTCCTTATCATAGGCCTAGCTTCTATATTTTCATTTCTAAAACCTAATGGTCAGTTTGGTCTAATGGCTAAGGCACCAAGCCAGAAACTAAGAGATGGTGAGTTAGGCATCAAAGCTGGCTGTATGACTTTGAGCCAGTCATTTCCTCTCGCCTACATCAGCATTGGCAACAAGCTGGTCAATCAATTCCTATCAGAACCAACCAACCAACAATTGGTTGACTTTAGGGGTGGGGACGACAAACTTTGCATTTGGCATTTGCAGGAAAAATACTAGGGAGAAAAAAAAAATCATTTTTATAAAAAAAAAAGAACATAGGCTGCAGAGAAACCATTGATTTATTCTCCTTAGTCTCTTAGGATAAGAGGTTTGGGGTTTGGGGTTCGTTGGTTCAGGGAGAATTACCACCTTTAGTCTTGGATGGGGTGGCACTACCCCAAACAGACCCTGTGCGTAAGGGGTTTTCCTGGACTCATGACTCCTGTTTGAAGAGTAGGTGGCAGTCGTGGCCAGGAGGGCCTTTGCACAACTGCGGGTTGCACCAGTTATACCGTTTCCTGGATCAGCGATCCCTACTCACAGCCATTCATGCCCTGGTCACTTCCCATCTTGATTATTGCAACGCGCTCTAAATGGGGCTGCCCTTGAAGAGCATCTGGAAGCTCCAGTTGGTGCAAAATGCAGTGGCCCGCATGGTTTTATGCAGACCCCAGTGGGCACATGTGTCACCTCTCCTGCAGGAGCTGCATTGGTTGCCAATTTGCTTCCAGGTACAATTCAAGGTGCTGGTTGTCACCTTTAAAATCCTTCATGGCTTGGGTCCGGGTTATCTAAGGAAACATCTCTTGGCAGTCACATCTACCCGACCCATTAGAGCAAGGAGGCAGGGAATGTTAGGGGTCCCACCCCTGAGAGAGATACACTGGTGGGACCCAGAAGAAGGGCCTTCTCCGTGGTGGCTCCCTCTCTCTGGAACCCCAGAGATTAGAATGGCCCCCTCACCAATATTCTTCCAAAAGGCACTGAAGACCTGGTTTTGCCAGCGGGCCTGGGGAACCCAGAGAGGAACAGGGCCATCAAATGGGTAGTGTGATCTGCTGTCGTTGGGGTGGGGGGTGGGAGTTGGTTTTTGATTTTTCCCCCCAAATTTTTTTCTATTGTACTTTACTAATTTATTTGATTTTTTTTGTTAATTTTTGTTTTTATTTTTTGTTTTAAAAATAAAAGCCGCCTTGAGTCGCCATGGGCAAATAGGCGGCAATATAAATTAAATAAATAAGTAAACAAAATAAGAAAGAAAGAGTGAAAACTTTACACAGAGAGATCCAAACATAAAAATAAGGCAGGATTTCCTGACTGAGAGCTGTTAAACTGTAGATTGGCTTCCCTCCTAGAGTCATGGGCTTTCTATAATTCGAGGTTTTGGACAGTCATTTCATATGGTCTGAGGATTCCTGTCCTAAACAGGATGTTGAAATAGAAAACTTCTAAGTTCCCTTCAAATGATCCTATGAAGTATTTTCAACACTCTAAATCCAGTAACTTCACTGCATTATGACCCCTATAGCTTAAAAAGACCAAAATACTTGGAGGAAAAATGCCTCCAATCAATGCTTTAGAACATGCCATAGGACATATTGTATACATAATATTTGTATCTATATATGATTTAAAATATCATAACAAATACTTTCTCCATATATAATTCGCCTGATAGCAAGAGGGCTGTTTTGTTAAGCAAGAGGTATTTGCTGAATATACCTGCTAAAAATATATTAAATTCCAGGCAAAGTAGGATAATTCAGAACATATATTCATTTAATAACAGCAGAGAAGACAGAATAATTTTATTCTGATTCTGGGTCTCCATGATGCTTTGGCCCTCTTCTGTTTTTCTGCAATCCTGGCATTTTGTAAAGAGCACCCGCTATAATCATGTTAAAAATAAATAAAAACAACAAACCCTAGATGAGGAGATGAGGGAATAAAAGTACTGATCGGTTTCAAATTGATACCTGTGCAGGGACCATTTTTAGCTAATGAAACACAGCTTCTTGGTGGTTAGAGTAATGTTGGGAGTTAAGATTTACTCTGCTCAGACTTATTGTTACATAGTCTCCCATTTTCTAGAGTTGTGTGATTGCATATTTTGACCTATGTTAATCCACTAATTTGACATTTATTTAGTTTATGGAAATGTATCTATTTTTGTTTCAACCCATGATAAAAAGTTATATCAGATTCAGAAAAGGGCATTGTATTTATTATGAGTGCCTCTTTTCTCCTCAAGCTGTTGGTTTGAAATTTACCATCATTTTTCCTTGCTAGGCAACAATTATTACTGCAATTATTATCAGACTTTGTCTAAAAGCCAAAATTATGAGCACTGTAAAATAAATGGACACAATTCAAAGCCCGTGTTCTAATTTCTATCACAGTTGGTGCCATAAAGTTCTAGCTTGCTCGTTGATGAAAAATAAAATGTTTTGCCATTTATGATTTCTTCTCTGGTAAACAAATCAATTATGCTCCTTTTCCAAGATTTGCATATCAAATTAGATTTGTCTATTTCTGGAGCATGCAGAATTTATTGACTCAGATGGTACTTACATATGGATTATCTGGTCTATCTTTTTGTTTTCTAAAACTGTGTAAAGCTTTAAGTTTGATATGGAAGAGGTGCTTCAAAATGTATGGGAGTAGAAAGCAACTTTTTTTCCGGGACACATTAAAAGAGTTACTTTTTCTGGGACTCATTAAAACAGTGAGAAGATTTCCGTTGCCACTTTGCAATATGGAAAGAAACACAGCTGCCTTAATGAGTCACAGAAAAATGCTGTCCTAAACTCCTCAAGACTTCCACAGAAGCTCTTTCAGATCAAATCCAGATTAAAACATAGCCCTACTACCTTCTCTAAGTCAAAATATTTTTTCCATAATTCAACCATGGGCACACAAATGTTCTCTGGCATTATCACATATTTATTGGCTGGTACAGGTACTTCTCAGTGTATGACACCAATTGGGACACTAAGGGCTGCAATCATAAAGTACAACATCATGTGACTGCATTGCTTGGTGATGGCAATCCCAAGCAGTCCTGCTTGCTATCATAACCATAAGAACTGCAGGTTGTTAAGTTGGAAGAGGTGAGAAACATATAGTCAAAGAGCACAGAATGGGTAGGACAAACCAAAGTAGGGCCTGGGATGGTCAATGAAAGTCACAAGAGGGCCTGGGAGGGTCAATGTAGAACCATGAGTTGCAGGAAGCCAGGGAGGGCCTGGGAAAACCAGCATGGGTGGGTGCATGGTGCAAGAGGGAGAAAAAACAGAAGCTACTTATTAGAGTGATTTGCAACTTTTTCAGCTAGATTCGCCACTAGCTTTGTTTGGCAATCATGTGACTGCAAATCCCTACAACATCGTAATGCAAGCCAAATGCAAGCCGGATCATATAGCTATGGTGTGCTGCAATGGCTGGAACCTTGGGAAGTGAACCTGTCTATCCATTTTTTAGTGCTGCCATAACATTGGATGGTCACTGTTTGAATGGACATAAACCAAGGACTACTTATATTTACTGCTATCTCTCCTAAAGCAATATGTATCTACACTCAAACTGCACCTTTTCCTTCACCAAAGTATTGCAAACATACCTGTTTTAATATAAACTCTAATGGATTCTCAGGTTTCTCATATACCAAGTTTTCTGTGATCTCCTGAATATAAAGAAAGTAGCAATTACATTTTTTTTCATAAAAAGCATGTAATAAAGATGTATCTTAAAAAAGGAATTGAAGGCTGCATCAAAATACAGATTCTAAATCATAGGACAACCAAGTCCACCTTCAGCCATGGAAACACACATGGAGGGTGAGCAAGTCACTCTCTCAGAGCAGACTACCTCATAGGATTGTTGTTGGGATAAAACGAAGGGAGATTCCCATATAAGCTGCCTTGTCTTCCTGGAAGAGTAGGCAAATCCTGTGTGGTTGCAGAATCCCATGATCATTTGCAACCTCCTCCCAGCTTCCTTATTGATTTTGCAATAGAGCCCACAGTGAACAGGTTAACACTGACCATAGAACACTATAATGTCATGGTTGCAAACTGGATGCCATTCGCTCAAATTGTGATCATATGACTGCAAGGATGCTGTGTGACAGCCACAAATACAAGGCCCATTGAAGGGTCCCTTTGTTCAGCACCACTGCAACTTTGAATAGTCTTTAACCAAGTGGTCATTCAATGAGGACTACTTGTATGTCATTTTGGTTTGGTCATACCCTATCAATTGTACTTAATCCCATTCTTGGAACAACACTTTAAGGAAGACTTAAGAAAATTGGGATAGATCCAGAAGTGCCCATGATGATGGCGTTGAAAACTTAAATCCTTAAGAAATACTGAGGACCGGGAATGTTTTGCCTTCAAGGGTGACAAAAGGGATGTGCATAAGATAGGACTTTACAAATGCTTGAAAAGATGTCACAAAGAAGAAAGTCAAGTCAAATTTAAAAGAAGACAGATTCTGATTGAACATTAGAAAAAACAAGTATAGTGATAGGAACAGTTCAATAGTGGAACTAATTACCCAGAATGGTGGTGGGCTCTCCTTCACTGGTTGTATTCAGGCAGAGATTGGATAGCCATCTATTGTAGATATATTAATTTGAATTCCTGCACTAAACAGGGGTTGGATTCACTGGCCTAAAAGGCCCCTTCCAACTCTATGATTCTATGAAAAACATGCAAAAGTATATTGTCTCAGATAAAAAAAATGGGTCACTTTTTGTAATGGGAATAGTAGAATATGCACATGATATATATATAAGCTCAAGTGATGACATCATATATATATATATATATATATATATATATATATATATATATATATATATATATGGATCTTTGGTTG